AAGAAATAGAATTCCTGAACAGACCAATATCAAGCACTGAAATTGAAACAGCAATGAAAAACATTCCTAAAAACAAAGTCCTGGACCAGATGGTTTCACACCAAAACCAAGAAAGGACACAACAAAAAAAAGGAAACTACAGCCTAATATCCCTTATGAATATAGATGCAAAAATTCTCAAAAAATCCTAGCAAATGAAATTCAGGTACTTATCAAAAAAATAATCTATCTCTACCAAGTGGGCTAATCCCAGAGATGCAGGGATAGTTCAACATAGCCAAATCTATAAATGTAAATAACCATATAAATAGAAACAAAAACAAAGACCATATGATCCTTTCAATAGACACACAGAAAGCATTCGACCAAATTCAACACCATTTTAAGGCAAGAATGCTAAACAAAATAGGCATACACAGGAATTACCTAAAAATTATACAAGCCATATACAACAAACCCAGAGACAACATCATACTGAATGGGGAAAAATTGAAAGTATGCCCACTTAGAACCAGAACCAGACAAGGTTGTCCTCTACCACTACTTCTATTCAACATAGTGCTGGAGGTCCTAACCAAAGCAATCAGACAAGAGAAGCAAATCAAGGGCATCCAAATGGAGGCCAAAGAGTTCAAATTATTGCTCTTTGCTGACAATATGATCTTATATCAAGAAAACCCCAAATATTCTGCCATGGAACTACTGGAATTAATAAACAAATTCAGCAAAGTCTCAGGTTACAAAATCAATTACAGAAATCAGTAGCATTCCTATATGCAACGAACAGTCAAACTGAGAAACAAATCAAAGACTCAATATCTTTCATAATAGTAACAAAGTAAATAAAGTATCTAGGGATATGTTTAACTAAGGAGGTAAAAGACCTCTATAGGGAGAACTATGAAACAAGACAGAAGGAAATAGCAGAGGGTGTAAAATGGTGGAACACTATATCATGCTGACTGGTCAGCAGAATCAACATTATAAAATGGCTTACTACCCAAAGTCATCTACAGATTCAATGCAATTCCTATTAAAATATCAATATCATTTTTTATAGATACAGAAGAAAAAATTCTACACTTTTTGTAGAACAAGACAAGACCCCGTAGAGCAAAAGCAACCTTAAGCAAAAAGAACAAATTGGGAGGCATCAATTTACCAGACTTTTAACTATACTACAAGTCTATAGTAACTAAAACAGCATGGTTATGGCACAAGAACAGAGACACAGACCAATATAATAGAACTGAGAACCTAGATATAAAACCATCCTCATATAGCCATCTACTCTTTGACAAAGCAGACAAAAACATAAACTGAGGAAAAGAATCCTTATTCAATGAATGGTGCTAGGAAAACTGGATAGCCACATGTTGAAGACTGAAACAAGATCCATACTGTTCACTCTCACAAAAATCAACTCATGGTGAATAACAGAGTTAAACCTCAGGTGTGAAAATATAAGGATTCTAGGAGAAAATGTTGGAAAAACTCTTATAGACATTAGCCTAGGCAAAGAATTTGTAAAGAAGACCCCAAAAGCAATCATAACAACAACAAAAATAAATAAATGGGACCTGATCAAATTAAAAAGCCTCTGCACAGCCAAAGAAGCTGTCACAGGAGCAAACAGACAACCTTCAGAATGGGAGAAAATATTTACATGTTAGAATCCAGTAACAGGCTGAAAACTAGAATCTATATAGAACTCAGGAAAATCAGCAAGAAAAAAATCAAACAACCGTATCGAAAAGTTGCTTAAGGTCATGAACAGAAACTATTCAAGAGAAGATAGAATAATGGCTAACAAACATGAAAAAAATGCTCAACATCTCTAATCATCAGAGAAATGCAAATTAAAACCAGAATGAGATATCACTTATCTCTAGTGAGAATGGCCTCCTCAAAGGGTCCTAGCACAATAAATGTAGACATGGTTGTGGAGAGAGAGGAACACTCATACACTGTTGGTGGCACTGCATACTAGTACAACTACTGGTAAAAACAATATGGAGATAGCTCAAAGACATACTAGTAGAACCACCATTGGACCCAGCAATTCCATTACTGAGCATCTACCAAAAAGAATAAAAGATATTCTTAAAAAAGACATCTGCACTTGAATATTTATAGCAGCACACACAATTGCAAAGATGTGGAAACAACCCAACTGTTCATCAATACATGAGTGGACTCATAAAATGTGGTATATGCATACCATGGAGTTTTATTCAGCCACAAAAAAATGGTGATATAGTACCTCTTATATTATCCTGGATAGAGCTGGAACACATTCTACTAAGTAAAGTATCCCAAGAACGGAAAAACAAACACCACATGTACTCACAATCAAATTGTTTTTAATTGATCAGCACTTAAGTGAAAATATAGTAATAACATTCATCAGGTGTAGGGCAGGTAGGAGAGGGAAGGAGGGTTTGGGTATATACACACCTAATGGGTGTGATGCGCACCATCTGAGGGATGGACATGCTTGAAGCTCTGACTTGGGGTGGATGGAGGAGACAAGGACAATATATGTAACCTTAACATTTGTACCCCCACAATATGCTGGAAAAAATGAATAAATAAATAAATGAATAAAGACAGAGAGTAATGTCACCCAAATGGCTAATTAGATACCCCTAGCATTCATCCTGTTCTCAAAGATAGCCAAAACAATGAGGATACAACTACATTTTAATGAAAATAACTAAAAGAGACAGCAAGAGCACATCAAAGGAATAACAGAAACACTGAAACTCAGTATAAACATATAGAGGATAGAAAGAAACACTAGGCCTCCACAACCACATTCCTCAAGTGGGATCAGCTGGAAATCAGGAGGAACTTATATCCCTACAATAAAAAGGTAAGCAAGAGTATCCCAGCAATCCCCAATCAACATTTTGAACACTTACAGGCCTCAACACTGGGGACTCCTACAGTCTTCACAGGCATGAAACTCAACTGAGGGAGTTCCCTGGAGTCCACATAGCTGTGCTAACCACAGAGAAGGAGCTGAAACTGCCCTACTCTCTGTGTTCTGCATGTCTATTGTGTTACACTATCTTGGAACTGGAACAAAAGCTGTAGGGGATCTTGCTCCAGGGATACGCAGCCATGGATCCCCTTCATCCCTAAGGCTAAGCCACTGTCAAACCACCCTCATATGGTGGCCTGACAACCCCAAGCAAAACTCAAACAGCTGTTACACCCTTCCTTGAGGGCCAAGCAGAGGTGAGTATCTCCACCTACCTCTCTCCAACCTCCAGACAGGAGAAGAAACTGTGTACTCCCACCAGGTAAACACTTTGGAACCTTTGTGAAACTGCTCCAAAAACTCCTACCAGTTGATGCTGTGCCCTGCCCTACAGGACTTTAACTGAAGGTATATCCTCAAACTACAGCCTGCAGGCCACATGTCACCCACTGAGGAAATTTATCACACCCTCCGGGTGTTTTTGCCGCCACTGCCTGTCCTGCGTAGCAGCTTACTTGTCCCAGGCCCACAGTGCACACTCTCCAATGGTCTGAGGGACAGTGAACTGGCCCCCTGTTTAAAAAGTTTGAGGTCCCCTGGCAGTCAAGGAAACAGTGCAATGGTGGTGCCATTTCATATAACCTTCCAAGCTGCTGCTGCATCCCATCACCCTGTGCCAGAGCAGAGGGAATGCCAGGCACCTAGGGAAATGGTGCCTTGGCTACCCAGAGCAGTCATACCCCTCTGTGCCTGAACTAAGGCAGTACCCTGCCTTCCAGGAAAACAATACCTTTCCTTCTCAGAAAAGTCACACTGCCCTGATGCCTAAATTGAAAAAGCAACCTGCATCCAGGAAATGGTGCCTTGACTACCAAGAGCACTCATATACCCCACGCTTAAGTCAAAGTGGTACCCTACAGGGGTGAATTTTCTTATTGTTTTTAACTTTTGACAGTTTGACTATCATGTACCATGGAGATGTTTTGGGGTTGTATGTACTTGGAGATCTCTGAGCTTCCTGTAACTGGATGTGTACATCTAATTGGTAGATGAAAGTTTTCATCTATTATTTAATTTAATAGGCTTGGGCTCTCTTCTAGAACACCCAATACTCAAATATGCAATTGCTTTACGATATCCTATATGTAACATAATTTTCATTCATTCTTTTTTGGTCATCTGCCTTTATTTTTGTCTATCTGGGTTATTTCAAAAACTTGAGTTAAAGTTTGAATTTTTTTCTTCAGATGAGAAATATATTGGAGGAGTGAGAGAAATTGGCTGACTAAAGACATCAATCCTCAGATTATCTCACAACAAAGAAAAACTTTCAGGTGAAAAAGCATAGCCCAGGTAGAATGAGGAAAGAGAGCCAGAATGTACTGAATATTCAATAGGAAGAAGTTGCAGAGCAGAACAAAAAGGAGCAAGATTTTGGCCCCAAGGAATCGGTAGTCCCACATAAAGTGTAGGTGGGAGTTTATAACTTTCCTCTGCTCATATTTGTAGCAGGCTGTTGGCTTCCCAACTGTCAGCAAGCCCCCCTACCCTGATGAGCCCAGGAAATGCTGCCATTGGCAAATTGAGAATTCCTTAAGTACAGACTACCCAGCTGCCAGCCCACATGGGGCTGCTTCCCCCACCATAGTCTCGAGCCCAGATGGCAGGCTCCATACTGCTGGTGCATCCATTGTGTGCCTCTATCCTGTCCAGGGTATCTCCTTGTCACTGGATCCCACGCAAATATTCCCAGGCACGCACGTGGACTGTGATAACCACAAAGGTCATGGGAAGTACAGGAGAGCTACAGAATTCCCAGAATTCTGACTCGTAGGGTGGGCTGCCCCTAGAGAATGGGAAAGTACCTTGAGCCACATAGCTTTTGGAGACAGAGGGAAGTGGAACACATGCTCTCCTCCACCCGAGAGACCATGGCTTGTGATGCCAATTTCTCTTTACCAACCTTGAGGAGACGTGTCTGCAGAGTGGAGTCCATATGTTCTTAACATCTTACCTGCTCCATTTTGATCAGGAAACAATCAATAAAGTCTCGAGGGTTGTTAACATCCAATGATTCTTGGTGTTCTTTTACTTTCTCCAAAATATAACTTTTTACAAAAGCAGCATTGTCAAATATTTCTTTAAGGGTCGCTGGGAAATAATCGATGAGAGCAGGGAAATTATTGTAGATCTAAAAGACAATCAATAATTTATTGAATAAAAAATACTAATTGGCCGGGCGCAGTAGATCACGCCTGTAATCCTAGCTCTCTGGGAGGCTGAGGCGGGTGGATTGCTCGAGGTCATGAGTTCGAAACCAGCCTGAGCAAGAGCGAGACCCCGTCTCTATTATAAATAGAAAGAAATTAATTGGCCAACTAATATATATAAAAAAAATTAGCCGGGCTTGGTGGTGCATGCCTGTAGTCCCATCTACTCGGGAGGCTGAGGCAGCAGGATTGCTTGAGCCCAGGAGTTTGAGGTTGCTGTGAGCTTGGCTGATGCCACGACACTCACTCTAGTCTGGGCATCAAAGCGAGACTCTGTCTCAAAAAACAAAAACTAATTGAACACATATGCCATAATTGAAGCCCTGGTTAGAAATTATAGTTATTAAAATGAACATATGGTGTCCATCTTGAGGGAGAAATTTTTATTGTGCATGTATAGTAATTCTCAATGTTAGGGAATGATTCAAGGGAGAAAATACTCACCAGGGAATCAAATATGATAATTATTTCCTAGACTTATACATACTTTTTATAATGTAACGGCATCTTTTTGTTGTTTCATTTTTATACCAATTATACCCCACAACCTTGAAACATAAGATGGAATGAATTATTATAATTCACATGTTGTAGAGGACAACACATTTTAAGTGAGTTTGGGCAATTTGGTTGAGAGCACAAAAACTAGTCCCTGCTTTATTTGTTTCTATCAAATAGCCTCAGAAGGGAATCTTTATTTTTAGAAGCAGTGGGGGCTCAAATATACCTTGAAACCAACTGTGCACCAGAGCAGTTACATGAGTTCTCTAAGATCACACAATTATTATTTAGACAGAGTGTGGGATATGCCAATTCAGCACATGGTAAAATTGTAAAGGTTATCTCTGGTTCATACACCATAACACTAACCATTTTGTCACTTCTAACCTAGATACCTTGTTGGCTAGGCACCTGAGGCACCAAACATCACTACCCTATGCAGTATTATTTCCTAGAAGTTTTTGGCAGAGTATTTCTATGGTCCTACAGATTCTCTTTCCTTGAGAAGATTTTATCTCACTAATTAGCCTATTTCTGACAGGTAATATGACAAAAAAATCTAGAAGTATTAACTGGTAGACAAGCATTGTGGGTAACAAGCATTCAGAAAGGGCTTGGATGTTCATTGAGTGAAGTAGGCATACTTTGAACAGTTAACAAAGTACTTTATAAAAAAAGGACCTTGGGTTTAATAGAAAACTCACTTTATAGGAAGTTAATGGGCTTGAAATCCTGCCCTATTACTAGCCATTAATCTCTTGTGTGTAATATAAAGAGCTCAGCCATCTTTCTCAGGTGTTTTCCGTGACTTTCTTGGCAAAATAGTGGTATTGAAACATGCACTTCACAGCTTGGTCCTCAGAGAAAAGAGAGTAACTGGTTTTTTAGGAGAAAAGGATCATGGTCTCACCTGTATCCATGGGGAGCTGATTATCTTGGTATTCAAATGTACTTTTTCCATCAACTTAAGAAAATGCTCATCTTTATAATCAGAACGATTCTGGAAAATAATGGAGCAAATCACGTTGCAAGGAGCACAGCTCAGGATAAAAGTGGGATCACAGGGTGAGGCTAAAAAATTGGAAACAATTTTAAAATACATTAAAACATAACTATGAAACAATTGGTCTTTGTTAATAGGTAAAGGTAATTTAAAATTTTTAAGGAATATCTGAAATACAAATTCCCTTAACAGTGAAAAAGAATTCAGCATGCATTAAATCAACATATCACTTTGACTTTATTTTTTAAACCTTTTTTTTATTTTAGTGTATTATGGGGGTACAAGTGTTAAGGTTACTTATATTGCCCATGCTCCCCTCCCCCCTCAAGTAAGAGCTTCAAGCGTATCACTTTGACTTTAAACCTAAGTTTGCCATTATAACCTAGATGGTTAAATAATGGTTTTGCAAATACTCAACTCTCATCTACTGCCTTTGTTTATACCCTTTTAAATCAAGGTGTCTGTCATTTTCGAAAGAAGGAAAAGACATTATTCCAAAACCTAATAATTCAAGTCTTCAGTGCAGAATCACATCTATCTGCAAAACTTGTTGACAATAAAGCACTGAGATAGAAAGGGAGAGAATAGGTGGGGAACTGGAAACTTTTTATATATAATATTAGCTGAAAGAATCATGTATTGAACCAATGGAGAGGTACCAACGAGAGAGAAATTGAGGATGAATTCATGTATTTTGAGAAACAGTGTAAAAAGCAGAATGCATCAATGTCACATGAGAAGAAAAACTAATAAAAACAATCAGTAAGTGTAAGATGAATGTTTTTGTCACAAAAGTAATAAAATGAGAATTTTTTATTTGAAATATAAATCCTTGGTAAGGAAAACAACAAAAGATAAATTTATAAATGCAGATATTTTTCTTATTTCAAATTTTTAAAAAATGTTTCTTCTTTAAGAAATAACTATCAACTCCAATCATCCTGAAAACTTAAGTTGTGAGGAAAGTTGCTATTTTTTAGATTCTGAGATGTTCCATATAGCCATCAATAGTATACAGTATGTTTTAAGAAATTTTTTATATTACATATCAGGTGTCTTAAGTTACAAATAACATATGCTTAAGAAATTTTAAAATTTGATAATCAGTTAGGTCAAGTCTGTCGTTTTACAGGTAAGGAAATTAAATTATAGGAAAGGTTTTCTTTTTTTCCTGAGAGATCTCCAAAATGAAATTCTTATAATCAAATGACCAATACACTTTATATGTAAGTAGCTCTTAAATTTACATCTATAGATGCAAAATAAGGGTTATTTGAATCAAAACTGTTCTGAATAAATGGTAGGACACTGAACAACAGGAAACTTCTTGAGTTAGCTATGCCAGGCTCCTTTACATATTATAGGGCTCTAAGCTTTAGGAAAAGTTTTATTTAGTCTAGCAGGTAGAAGGTAATTTGAGAAGCCTTCAGGATTTTGTTTGTGTGTGTATAATAATTTTCATTTTTTTAATTTGCTATAGTTGGAAGAGAGTATTTTTAAAAGTAATTTATAATCCAAGCTAATAATCAGATTCATCATGACAAGAAATTCATAAGTTAGTAGAATTGGCAGTGGCAGGAAAATAATTACCACAAATTTCTAATCCAAAATCAAATTAAATATGGGGAAAAAATAAGTTTACCTCTAAACAGAGCCGAATTACACTTAAGAAAGTCAGGGTAAAGAGTCAAATGATAGTAGTCAAAGTCTAGCTAAATAAATCATTTTATAAATGGGTATATTTTTACTTTGCAGAATTATACTATAGCATGTTTACTCAAAATACATAATTTAATATGGTAATGTTTAACAAGAAATAGGGGACAGATACAAGATTGTAGATGAGAAAAACCACTAGCCATAGTGGTTTTTGGCAAAAAAGATTTTAGTGGCAAAAGTGGCAAAAAAGACAGATTTTAGAAGAACATCAAAGATAAATAAGCAGACAAACATAGATTGGATGTGGGTTGGAAGGAAGGGTACCTGAGACTATAGGAGACTCCATGGGAAGAAGTTGCAGAGGAGAACTGGAAGGACAAAGGCCTCCAAGAGGGTTGGAGACCAGTGACAAGGGTAGGTGGCACAGTTAACTTTCCCCTTCCTTGCATCTCGGACTGCTGGTGGGTTTTTGGGCAGTTTGAGAGACCTGCTAACACCATCCCAGAAAGAGCTGCTGGCAATGAGCAGTGAGCCTCTTGCAGATGGGGCACCAGGCTTCCAGCTCCCTTGGGGTACCTCCCAGTGCACAGACCTGAGCCGATCCTCAGGCACCATATTTCTTGATTCTCTCCTTCCCCTTCTCTACCCGTGGGTGCTCAAGAGACAATTTAGTCATCACATGGAGACATCTCTAGGGAACAGGATCTTTCCTTTTGGGGCCCTAAAGACAGGGAGGTACTCAGATTGTGAGCTCCCTACCCACCAGCCCACCCAGGTGCTTCTGGCCTGGTGACTCCAGCAGAACAGGGCATTTATTAACACTGGGAGACATCAACCTAGCTTGGGCACCCCATGGGTGACTTAGGACTGGCACTCTTCTCCCTGATGGGGTCAGGGATTGAACTCTGGGGCCCAGGGATCAGGCCTCTAGACCAGATTATGTACACCCCAGGTCTCAATCACATTGGCCCAGGTCACAGAGGAGATATTTATGAACAAGCCTACTAAGATGTGTATCCTTTCAGGAGCATATCAGTGTGCTTGAGGGACACCCCTTTTCCCATAGGAAGGCTTTGTGCCCAACCTAGGCTGGAAATCTGGGCAAGGAACCACCTGACCCACATCACAACCAAGGGAGATCCACTGGCTTGAGGTCCTGCCTCCTGAGAGAGGGCCAGGAGAAACTGCAGAATAGAGGGAAGTGGAAAGGAGCAAGCCCTGCTCAAGACTGCAGCTCTTGAACAGCCCCACCCCCACACATGCTTTTCATTTGAGAGGGGCCATCTCAACCCCTCCCTGGCAGCTTTGCCCAGAAGCAGAGAACAGACCTTTGGTCCCTGCTATCAGAATTAGTGGTGCTTAAGGGCAGGCTTACCCAACCCAGCTCCACTCCGACTCACTCCTCGACCTGTCCCCACTGAGATAGAGAAAAAGTACACACCTGGAAGTCCCAGGGCCCCACCCACCACCTGAGGCAAAAGAATGCCTCTCCAGAGGAACAAGAGCTTATTATAGGACCCCAAAACAAAACTGTAGCCTGCTCCTCACAGTAAGCGCCACCTACTGACAGGGAGGTCATTCTTCACACCATTTTACTGCATCTACTGACACATCATACAGGTCGTGGTCGAATCTTACCCACAAACACCACCTACTGGCTCAGAGAATAAACAGGGCATGTCATTATCCAAACGAAAAACTAAAGGTAAGAAGCAACAACTGATCCACATGGGAAGGAATCAGCAAAAGAACTCTGGAAGTATGAAGAATCAAATGGAAAACACACCCCCAAAGAGGAACAACAGCTCTCTAGAAATGCAAATTAACCAAAGTCAGAATACTGAAATGATAAAAGAAGAAGTTTGAACATGGATTCTAAGAAAACTCAATGACGTGTAAGAAAAAATGGATAACCAACACAAAGAAAACACACAAAACAAATCCAGGACCTGGAAGAAAAATTCACTAAATAAATTGAAATATTAAAGAAAAATCAAACCAAATGCCTGGAAATAAAGAATCTATTCAGGGAACTACAAAACACAGTGTAAAGCCTCAAGAACAGGGTAGATCAAACAGAAGAATGAATCTTAGATATTAAAGATAACACCTTTCAATTAAATAAGTCAGTCATAGAGATAGAGCAGAGTAATAAGAGAAAAGAGCAAAGACTACAAGAAATGTGGGATTATGTGAAGAAACCTAATGTGAGAGTTACAGACATCCCTGAAGTGGAAGAAGAAAACACCAAAGTTTGGATAAGCTATTTGAAGATATAATAGAGGAAAATTTCCCAGGCCTTGCTAAAAATCTAGACATCCAGGTACAAGAAACCCTAAGGCCCCCTGGCATATTCAATGCAAACAGGAAGACACCATGACATGCAGTCATCAGACTGACCAAAATATCCACTAAAGAGCCCCTTATACAAGCTGCAAGGCTAAAGAAACAAGTAACATACAAAGGAAAGTTCATCTGAATAATGTTAGACTTCTGAACTGAAACCTTACAAGCAAGAAGACACTGGGGCCCTATTGTCACTCTTAAAACAGAATAATGCCCAGCCTAGAATCTCATCCCTGCAAAACTAAGTTTTCTGTATGAAGGAGAAATAAAGACATTTTCAGATAAGCAAAGACTGAGGGAATTCACCAAGACAAGACCAGCCCTCCAAGAAGTACCCAAAACAGAGTTACACATGGATAAGCACAATAAACACTCATGAATGTAAAGCCACTCAAAAGCTAAAGATCAAAGGCCAGATACCACAATGGCTCAAGAGACAAAACAAAGCAAAAAAGCTAAACCCAACAGAATGAACAGAAATCTGCCCCACCTTAATTCTCTCAATAAATGTGAATGGTTTGAATGCCCCACTCAAAAGCCATAGGTTGGCTGAATGAATAAAAAAATAGAGGCCAACTATTTGCTGTATTCAGTAAATACGTCTAACCTGCAAGGATGCATTTAGACTAAAGGTAAAGGGGTGGAAAACAATATTTCAAGCAAACAGAAGCCAAAAGACAGCTGGCTTGGTGGTTGTGATTTCACATAATTTAGCTTTTAAATCAAAAAAAGTAATGAAAGACAAAAAGGGTCACTATTAATTGTGAAGAGTACATCAAGAAGACATAACGATTCTAAATGCGTATGCACCCAACTTAGGTATACTCAGATTCATAAAGCAAACTATTTGATCTAATCAAATTGATAAACAACAACACCATAATAGTCAGAGATTTCAACACTCCACTTACAGAACAGGACATATTCTCCAAACATAAAATTACCAAAGAAATAATGGATGTAAACAGGACTCTAGAACAAATGGGCCTAACTGATATTTACAGAACATTCTACCCCAAAACCACTGAATATACATTCTTCTCATCAGTTCATGGGATATTCT